GATTAGTGCGGGCACCCTGTGCAGAGGCGGAGGTGACTTTCTGGGATCTTGCGATCGAGTCTATGCAACCCTCGGCCACGCTCTCCTTTCGTGGCTGATAAGCATTCGCAGACCAGGCGATGGAGATGGCGGGGAGCACGGATGTGACTGCTCACCAAGGCCGAGGGGGGCACGACACGCACCGACCCTTCACGAACCGAAAGGCCGTGCCCGGCGTGCAAAGGGGCAGGGAAATGGGCACGTGTTGGTGATGACTGCTCTATTTATTATTTATTTCTCCTTAAAATCCCTGTGTGATGGCGGCGTGCCGTCCTCCATCCCTGACTTGTGTTTGTTTTCTTTCTGTTTCCGAGGCACTTTGCTCCGCCCTCGCCGCCGCTAGCCCGGTCTCGCCGCCGCTAGCCCCGAGGTCTCGTGGTCTCGTGGAGGCCCGCTGGTGGCGTAGCGAAGCTCGTTCCTCCTCCTCCACCCTCAACGACCCCGCCGCGGACCATCCGCTGCTCGCGCGACCCGTCGCCTCCCTACTCACTTCATCACCGAAATCCGGTGTCCGATGGCGCAGCGTGTTCGCCTTCTGAGGAATGGTGCACGCACCGGTGGCAAGCTGCTGGTGGTGCCTGACACCTGGGAGCAGCTTCTGCACCGCTGCAGTCGCAAATTCTCTACTGACGACGAGCCATTCGTGGCGTCTCGGTGCTTCACGGTGGACGGCTTCGAGATAGAGGAGCTGGAAGAGGTAGCCGCTTGGCGCCCTCGGTGTCGCTGCACGCTGCGGCGCGCTCCGCAGCCCAAGCACATGCCTCCAGGTGGCCGCCGACTCCATTGTCGTCGTCTCGAGCGGCGAGGATTTCCTGCCGCTGCCTCTGCTCGAGGGGCTGCCGCCGCCGCTGCACACAGGCGTCTCCTCGAGCGCCGCCAGCACGGCGTCGGCTGCGCCGGCGCCGACTGAGCTGAGCCGTGACTCGTCCGTCGCCTCGGTCTCGCTTCCGCCGCACGCGTCGCCGCTGCCTCCCGGGGCGGCTGCGGCTGCAGAGCCGGCGGTGCCATCGCCACCCGAGCCTCGACTGCACCTCACCATGCTGCAAGCCGCGCCGCTGGTGACCTCTCGCGGCTCGGACGGCGCCGTGCACCCGCTGCCTCAGCTCAATCTTCTTTCGGAGCGAGAGAAGCTCTCGGAGATGCTCTCGCACGCCAGCAAGGCGGCACCTCCTAGACACCTCCCAGACATCTCCCGTCACTGGACACGTCCTTCGGGGTTGGCGAGGCGCCGCACTGTGCTCTCCCGCCACACCAGCCTCCGGTATCAGGCGCTCGACATCCCCTTTGAGATTGCGACCACCGATAACTTGCGCTGTCGTGCGCACAACGGGCCCGACTGTTCTCCGACACTCTTTTTTTTCCCGTGAAGCCTTTTTGCCTTTGCCCCCCGCCCTTTTTTGTCCTCTCCCTGACCTGTGCCTCTTTTTTCCCCGCCCTCTCATATGCATTTTTCCCCCTTCTTTTGAATAAGGGCTGGTCCGCTTTTTA